GCTTGTGCATATCATTTTCTATCACTAAAACGACAGATTTTATATGAGCTTGTGTCGCCCAGGACAGAGCTGGGCAGTATAAGACGCACATTTCTGGGGGAAAGTCTGGAACTGGGCATTCACTGATGTTGCCCTGCAGTGTAATTCATGGGCTCTAGCACACATACAATATAACTGGGAGCGATTTACAGGCTGGAGGTGGTGTGTGCGGACACCAGGAGTGGTAACACTCACAGCGAAGCAGTGTAAAAGGCCCCCCAGGTTGGAGAACTGAGGGGATTCAGCTTTTCAACAGTCCAGATTATACCCTGAGTAATGTCACAAGTTCTACAGCTACTCACCAGCCTCCTCCAAGAGACACTGCGCTGCCCCATCAGTCAAACAGAAATCACCGGCTAGTCCCTCCCCACTCTCAAAGGGCGGGAAGAACAGATGGGCCTGGACATTCAGCCTTGGGCCAAGACCAAGGCGTGAAATAAGTGGCAAAGTCAAGGTCCCCTGGGTGAGAACGCCAGGCCAGGAGCCCCCTCCCCTCCAATCAGGGGCTGTCAGCTCCAGTGCCTCACCTCAGTTGGCAAGGTATCACACTGGGAGAGCGCTGGGCCCCAGGGGACAACAAGGCCCCAACCCCTTTAGGTCTTTATAAAATAGATCAGGATCCAGAAACAAATGGGGCGCAGGCTTGCATCAGCCCCCTGCAAGCCCCATCACTTAGCAACTAAGCCTCTGCATTGTACAAAGCCACCGGGAAAACCACCACCACAGCAACTTCACCCAATGGTGCAGTGAAAGCAGTGGCAGGAACGGGGCAGAATGTGCTGGCAGCCAGCACTCTTACCACCATCTTCTCTAACCTGTAAGGGTAGGGAAAACACCTACACCCTATCTACACTAGCACACTCCTGGGGGGCGGGTGTTGGAAACATGCTAGTGCGCACAAGGCTTCTGACTCACTGAAGGGAAATGTCCCTCAGGCCAACAGAAAAAGGAGGCAAGGCAAATGCCGGCATGATGTACGGGAACTTGGGACAGGGGTTTATACAGCTCAAGCAAATGTAAATGCAAACAAGGCCAAGCGCACAGAGCCAAGGTCAGTGGGTAAGACACAGCCTGGAGATTTGGGTCCCAGCAGCATTTGATCAGGGGCAGGCAACAACGCAGAACCCAGTTTGCCCTGGTCTACACTGACAGCTGGTTGCAGTCGGCATCACATCAGCTACCGTGACGGCTTGCAGCTCAGCTCCAACACGGTAACATTCTGCAGCGTGGGAAAGGCTGAGAGGATGACGAGGAAACGTGAATACAGAGCTGAGGATATAAAGGACGTGCATCATTTCTTATTAAAGGCAGAAGGACTCGTGGCGGGTCAGAGTAGCCACTAGGCCTTCTCAGTGCTATCACAGAGATGGCCGAGAAGCCAATCACTTAACAGGAAGGTGAGCAAAACCATAATTCTGTCCTAAAACGTGCTGTGTTCTAGCGTGCTGCTACACAGCTTCTGCATTCCCTCCAGAGATGGCTGCATTTCTGCTGGTGCTTAAGTCCCTCATGTGCCTCACTGGCAACTTTGATTTCCTTGCACAATATGAACATGACATGCCCCCTCCTCACAAAAGGAGCCTGTGCCAACATCCGTTGACCCACCAAACACGTTAACACTAATCCTAGGCTCGAAGATCTGTGGGGCTCTTACGAGGCTGATGGGTTGAAGTTTGTGAGGCGCTTGGAGGTCCTCGGATGAAACAGGAACACAGCAGGGTCAGTGTATTAGTTTTGCTGTTGCAGGCCCCAACTCAACACCGTGCTTGTGCACATGCTTAACTTTAAGCCCAGGAGTGAATAGGCCCATTGCTGTTACCAGAACAATTCATGTGTTAACACACCTTGCTGAATCGGGGCCATTATCATGGGGACCAGCTACTTTCTGACTCCCGCAGAGCAGGGATTGCTTCCTGGCCTTTCAAGCTTTTCCCAGATCAGCAAGGAGGCAGATGTCTCCCCATCCCCCCATCTCTCCCAGGTAAGTACCAGCCTCCGTCACCTCCCCTGGTAGCCAACATAGGAATAGGGGCCCACATTAGTCCTGGGTGAACTGTGGTTTTCATTTGCGTTGGGACATTAGCACTAGCGACAGGCCCAAAGCATGTGACCAAAAAGAATGAAATCATGAGAAAGAAGAGGGTTGTGACCCCTTGAAATACCAGCGTTCTCTTCTTTGAGCTTTGGGCTGAAGTAATAGAAATAAAACCCAGTTCATTGGGTACCAGGTGCAGTAAATATTTGGTTATACAAGAAACTGCTTCCTCTGACCCTAGCGAAGGTCCGATAATTGGCAATGTCATTGCTTGTTTGTTAAAGGGGATTAAAAAAGTAAACTCTTCAAGGGTCCGTTGCTAATACCGGCCTGACCATGCGGGAGCCGACCAGTGGCACCGCTGGGTTTAGCCCGTTTGTATCTTGATCAAACGCTTATAAAAGGTTTTGTTGCTGTTTGGCTGGAGTAAACTGCTTATTACTGAGGCTTTCTAGGCATGTTTGGAGCAGTTGTATAAATGCCATTCGCTCTTTGGATTTAATAAAGGAATTGATGGTTGAATGAGTGTCATGGTGATACCCGCCCTAAGCAGTAATAATTCCAGCATTCTGAGGACCCAGAAAGGGACTCCCCCGGATGTTAATTTCAGTTGTTTTAAACCCCCAGACAGAAGGGGCAATGACCTGTCTTCCCAGGCCGGTATTGAATTCTCGCCTCAAGAGAAATTCAGTAAGGGATGGGGAAAGGAGGGAGGTACAGTGGCTACCCTTGCAAAGGAATTCTTGGCAGAGTATGGGAGAGGTCTGCTGAATAACGCTGAAATTTTGAAGAATAAGACCCATGGGCAACCATACAGAGAGCAGTAATTGTAACTAAAGGGTGAGTGCAAAAAAGCACAAAGATAAGCTCAGAGCCGAGAGAAATGGGCTGACACATGTGTCACTCTGGGAGATCAGTAAGTGATTTAAGGGAAAGGAGTGTGGCGTTAAAGGGAGCCTTTATGCAGACTGTAAAAACTTTGCAGCATGCTGGAGGGATTAAGCAGGCTGATGCAGTAAAAGTATTGGAAGCAACATTAGGTGAGAAGGGAAAAGAGAATGCTTGGGTTAATAAGGGAACCCAGTTGCAGCGGTATAACTGGGTGCAGTCATGGCTGGTGAACCCCTTTTGTAATACTGTAAAACTAAGTATGCAAAGGGGAGGTAACTTAGGGTTACCATATTGCAATACTACAAAAAGAAGACACTCCACAGGGCCCCGGCCCCACCCCAACTCCGCCTCTTCCCCGCCCTGGCCCCACCCCAACTCTGCCCCTTCCCCAAAGTCCCCGCCTCAACTCTGCCACCTCCCCATAGCACCCCACATTCCCCCTCGTCCCTCCCGCCCCCCGGCTGCTGCTGTGCTGGGGAAGTTGCTTCGGCCCCTGCCGCGGTGGAGAGCGGCGGGAGCCGGGAAAGTTGGAGCCCGGGGAGGAGGCGGTCCCCTTACCATGCCTCCCTATTTTCCCGGACATGTCCGGCTTTTTGGAAATTCCTCCCAGACGGGGATTTGAGGACCAAAAAGCCGGACATGTCTGGGAAAATCCAGACGTATGGTAACCCTAGGTAACCACCACCACTATGCTCCCCCCACCCCACCCCCCAAAAAAATTCCTTCAGAATAAATGTAAAGGCGATGGGTCCTTCCCGATGCAGGTATCTGCAAACAATCAATCGTGCTGGCCGCTGCAGGCACAGAGACACTGATTTAAATTGTTTGACTCTGGATGATTTAGTCAAAATCATTAAAAGAAAAGAAGGTTTCCATTTGTGCTTGATTGCCTGCGAATGTACAAGGAGGGAATGTAATCCGGGGACAGTTGTGTTTAAAAATAAATAATAAAATAAATAAGTGGTGCAACGCACAGGGCGTTGAGCAATCACGTTTACAAGAAATGCAAATACATTGGTGTCATTATGTAAGGTTTAAACAACATAAAACTCCGCGCTTGTAAAACCCTCTTTTGTATGTGTAAAATAAATTGGCTTTTAAAAGATTCCACTAAAAATCCCTTTGAATCTTTCATTCAAGTTACAAAACTGACAGACACTTTTTGGGCAGTTGCCAACGTTTCCTGGCAGTCTTTGCTACATTCTTTTCTTTCTTTCAAGCCAAACATAGGTAGCTAGTGTTATTTAGTCTTTAACCCTTTCAGTACCTCAATGCTCTTATAAAGTTCAACATCTTTTTAAATAAAGACTAACGGATGTGATGGTGGCTGTGGCAGCCAGAACTGGAATTGTGGGGAGAGACGATGATCCTTGCTCAGTAATAAAACAGCAGCTAAAAAAGCGTCTGGAGAATGAAAAATTAGAGACACAGTAAGGGCAGGGTGGTGGCACAAGAGAAGCGATGTTAGGAACACTGAACCGTAAGGAGGGACTGAGTGATCAGACAATCATTTTGATGCGGGCATACAGTATTGCCAACCCCATGTTCAAAAATCATGAGATTGGCTTTAAAATCATGAGATTATGTAAAAAAATATTAGATTTGGGGGTCTTTATTTGCCTTCTGCTTTTTGAGACTTTAGGGTGCACTGGGGTGTGTGTGTGTCACATTTTGAAGCTTTTTCCATAGCCACAAGGGCTAGAAACTTACTTTTTCTGTAAGAATGAAGATTGAAATGATCACACATCCACCTGACTCCAGGAGCTGGGGCTTTAAGGAACAAAATAATGATCATGAGACTCATGACAAAATCATGAGTGCTGGTGACACTGGGTACATGGGAACTCTAAGCACAAAACAAATAGTTACATTTCATGTGAAAATTAATTTTGCTAACGTGTCATTATGGCAACTAAAGGGTGGGGATAAATTATAAAAGGAATGTGCATTCTAGGGGAATATGAAGTGTAAAAGGGCTAAAAGAAATGCAAACAAGATATGTGACTTAATTAAAATCCTATAGAGGCTCCACAAAGGAACCACAATAAGTGGGGTTTTTTTCGTATGCCGGTATGCTGTGGAAGCAGGAACCACCCAGTACCGAGGAAGATCAGTGAGTATAAGAAATGGAGCTTAACCATTAAAAATACTATCCAAAAGATTTGTTCCAAAGTAAATTTTATTCCGGGAGTGATGAACCTGTAGGGGGGTGTTTTGTAAATGGAAAATAAATAATTTTGGTCAATTGTATAAAAATGTAAAGAAAGAAAAATTGAAATGCCCTAGACTGGAAACAGGTTCAAATAATGGCTCAGGGTTAAATCTATTAGAGAAATATTGTATAATAATGTTCAGTTTATGCACATGCCAGAGTTACTGAATTTCAGTAATTTGCTGTCACTGAAATTTGGTCAAAAATGGTTAAAAACTATTAAAAGGACTTTATGGACAAAACAATAAACTTTAAATGCATAAAACAGCTAAGATGGGGCAGCAACAGAACTGGAGGGAATGTAATAAAATTGGCATGGAAGCTGAACTGTTTGAGACCAGGATGTCTCTCTGAAACCAAGTGACAGAGACTCGGTGGGAACATGACCAAGCATTTTAACAGAAGCTAGCAGCAGAAGTATTGCATCTATGAAATGAACAAGTGTTTTAGCAAGAATTAGCATCTAGAGAATTGCATTGCATTTTAAAAAACAAAGCAAAGAATGTATCGATAAAGAACTTATCGATAAAGAACTTTTAATTGTTTATTATGCATGATGTTGTAAATGGTTTTTCTAAATGTATGAAATAAAGTTAATTTGCTATTACGAAAGGTAAAAAGCAAAAGCAATGATGTAATATAGTGGAAATGTTTTATATAAAGTAAAAAGCAGCTTTAAGTGACAAAGAACAAGGAAAGTTGCCCTCTGTTATTATTACAGAAGTAAGCTATAAATAAGGGAGGTCATACTAATTAGTGCAGGGTACAGAAATTAACCAGGGTCCAATACCATGAAGTTATATCTGAAACCACTGCAGCCCATATGGTGTGGAAGGGTTTTGCTTTTCCTCCTCAGATTCTGTTGGAAGACAATGACAAGGTCTGGGAAAGCCCCAAACTTGTACTGCTGTTTACCGGGGCGGGGGGCGCAAAGACAACACTTACATGTGCAGCAGTAATGGCTGAGACCGAGTTGCCAGCTTGTGGGTGTACTCTGGGAAACGGTCTGCAAATTGAACAGTGTGGCTGAGATGCTGGGAAATTGGTAAAGTAAAAACTTCCTATACTGGGAATGGCAAGTATTGTGTGGTGGCTGGAAAGGACCACTTCCTATACGGACTGTTATTTTCACTGGCCTTTGTGCGGTTTCAGACCTGAATTTCCCGTGGTGATAAATAGCAAGATTTTTATAATTTGTACCAGTTTTCCATAATGTAAGCGAAATACAGGCAAAGTTAAAATGGCAGTAGGGTGATTTAAAGGCAGGGCGAGCATATACTGTGGGATTACATTCCTGGTGAAGGCTGTCATTTAAAGTTTTGGACATTATTACTGTTATTGTGGTAATTCCTGTGTTGATTTCATAGTGCAGAGTTTGGTGGTTGTATACAATTTTGCCAAGTTGCAGAAGTATGTTTGAAATGCTTGATTTAGTAAAACCCACATTGTATGGAGGGTTTTAAGATGGGGAATGTAGGAACATAGACCCCGTTAGAACTGGGTGAAGTGTGGTTTTAAATTGAGTTGGGGTGTCAGCATGAGGAACAGGGCCAAAGCATGGGATCAAAAAGAATGAGCTCGTAAGAAAGAAGAGTGGCTGTGACCCTTTGAAATACCAGGCTTCTCTTCTTTGAGCTCTGGGCTGAAGTAATAGAAATAAATCACGGTGAACTGAGTACCAGGTGCAGTAAATAATTGGCTATATAAGAAACAGCTTCCTCGGGCCTTCGCTAAGGTCTGATAATTGGCAATAACACGACTTGTTTGTTAAAGGGTATAAAAAAAAGTAAACTCTTAAAGGCTGCTAATACCTTCCTGACCACATTGGAGCCAACCAGTAAGCATCTCTGGGCTTAGCCTGTTTGGAAGCATCTTGATCAAATGCTTATAAATGTTTGTTGCTGTTTGGCTGGAGTAAATTGCTTATTATTGAGGCTTTTTAGGCATGTTTGGAGCAATTGTATTAATACATTTGGCCTTTGGATTGAGTCAAGGAATTGCTGGCGTGGTCAGCGTCGTGGCCATACGCTGTATCAGTAACAATCACCCCCACGCCATGCGTGTGCCGGATGCCGCCTGCAGGAGCCAGCCTTTGAAATTTGCTGCAGGGAGTGCGAAGGAGCTGTCATGTACTCGCACCCCCCCTCCCCCCCAGCACTCTGTGACATGAGGCTCCAGGATAGGGTGACCAGATGTCCCGATTTTACAGGGACAGTCCCGATTTTTGGGTCTTTCTTATATATTATTACCCCCCGTCCTGATTTTTCACATTTGCTGTCTGGTCGCCCTACTCCAGGACCCTCAGTCCCCATGTGCAGGGCCCATGGCTGGGCTGTTCTGTGCCTGCAGTGGTCACCGCTCTGACTCGTGCTAGCTGCCATGAGGTGGCATGCAGACTTTACCTCGGCACAGCTCGCTTATATGGCCCTTCCTGGTGCCAGCCCTGCCCTTTGTGCAGACGGGACCTGCCCCGCGCACCATCCGCCCGTTGCAGCAAGGCCAGTGATGGTGCCTTTGTGGCTGCAGTGATGGGCCCACAGGGTGGAACTCCCTCCCCTTCTCCCCGCCCAAATCCCTCGCAGTTCAGCCACATCTTCAGAGCAGGGACTGCCCTCCCCCTGGAGAGTGCCCCGCACCCAGCAGGCCCCACCATAAACAAACATTAATACCCACTTACAAACACCACCTTAGCTCTGCCCCAAGCTCTCTTAGGAGCAGCCCCTGCGGGCCTTACAATCACGCCCCTCCCCCCTTCAAGCAGGCTCCCTGCCTCGGTGTTACGTATTTGTCTTTTGTTCTCATGCTACACGGTTGTACGGCACCCGGGCCCTATCTATCAATAACCACCAGCCCGCTGCCCTCTCTCCCCCTCAGCCCTCTTGGTGGGGCAGGAAGGGGAGAAACGAAGAGGGACTAGGCAGCTATGAAATGGGCAGCGGATCCCTATGTTAGCCGAGCAGCAGCAGCGCAGGCAACCTGGGGCACCAGCACAGGAAGGGTTAACGTCATTCCAGCTGACAGAATTAGGGACAGTTCTAGGTGTCCTCTGTGCAATAGCGGACAGCGCTGGCCAGCAGCCCGGGCACTGCCAGCCAGCCCCCCCGGGACAATCAGCGGGACTGGGATTTTTCAGCCTACCTGCACGGTTAGTCGAAGGAGAAGGAGCCAAGTGAGCACGCTCCTCTGCCGGAGCGATTGGATCCAGCCCACCCAGCCGGCTCTCCGCCACACAAAGGAATCCCAGGCTACAGCCAGGTACGAGATCATTCATCTGGATTAAAGGGAGCTGCTGGCTGGTGCCCTGGCATTCGAAGGAGCCCCCCCCACCCCCCAAAAGAGAGACAGAAGCAAAACCCCAGCTTCACCTGTCGCTACGGCTCCTGCTGCAAAAATCAGTAGGCGCCGGGCTATGTCCTTGAGACACAGACTGATGCCATCTGGGCAAAATGCCACGAGTTCCCTGGAGACCGGGAAGCGCCACGCTGCATCCAAAGGCTGCACGGCGAGCAGAGCATGGTGCCGCAATCAACAAACATTAACCACTTGGTAGCGCAGGCAAAGGACAGACCAGGAGGGGAGCTTGGCACGAAAGGCTTCAAGAGGATGCACTGTGTGCTGTTAACCCCTTTCAGTGCCGGTATTCGGCGGGGACGCTGCGCAGGAGTTCGGCCAGGCACAGGGAACTGAACTCCCATTTGGGGCGGGGTGGGGTGTGTGGAAGCGAGGGAGTCACTAGCCAGAGGGACACAGATCAGGTTAGAGAATGTCCTGTGTCCAAGGCACGAGGCAGGGCTGCTGGACACTCACCAGTGCCAGGATAACGGGGGCTTATGGCAACGCAGCAGATTTGGGGACAGAGTCACAGCTGGGGGCTCAAAGGGGCCCTTTCTGCTGCTCCAGTTCAGGGGCTGTCCTGTGCTGGACTGGTCCCCCAGAGCTGAGTAAAACAGCCAGGGGGCTGCTCTAACTTGCACCAGCTGACAAGAGTCCCAGGGGCCCATTAGAGAAGCCAGGGATTCCTGGGTCATCCCAGACCAGACCTCCTCCTCCCAGCCACACTCCTTCTCCCAGCATCCAGGAGGTGGTGGGGTACAGGCCACTGCAGGGGCTCCATGCCATCCCAGTAATCCCTTCATAGGGGAGATCCACCAAGAGCTGAATGCACCAATTTTAGGGCAGCTTTGTGGGGTGAGTACATAAAACACCCTGATCGGCTGTGAGGCCTTGAAAAGAGCAGGGCACAGAATGGCAGCCAGTGGGTTTAATGCACCACATCCTGGATTTTTGGGGTGCTCACGTCACAACTTCCGTGGCAGCATCTATATGCAGTGTTCTGCTTGCTATAGCGGTCTTCACTCTCCTCCCCACCCCCTTGGAAGTGCCCTGCGCTCGATCTGCTACAGAAACTGCAGCAGCACCGGCTTCAGACGGGGAATGGTCTCCTAACATGGCTACACCGCTGAGGAACAAAGATCCCACTCAGGAGACTGTCCCCAGCAGTAACAGAAAGAAACGGGAAGGAAAAACAAACCCCGAAAATGAAAGAGAAACAGAATCGCATCAGAACAGAAAGATCACACGAGTCCTGTCCTGAAGGGGTCCGAAGGTGTAATTATGACACATACAGATGGAAGACCTAATTGCACGCAGGAGGGTGGATTCTTGCATGCTGCAGCTGGTGGAAAACTTGTCCAGAAGGGGGTCTCCCTGGCACTGCACACTAGGAATTGAGTTTGCACAAACAGCTTGTCCTAGCTCTAGTAAGAATACCTGGGGGGGGAGGGGAATCTCTTGGCCACTGCCCCCTGCCGCTTAGCCACCAGACTTGATTTATGTTTTAAGTGTGTGCGCTGTATTGCTGTGAGGACAGGTAAATATACAGATGCCAATTGGCCACAAGCAACTGCTCCAGTGTGGATGGGGGTTTCGAGCAGTGACTTGAAAGCCAGGACTCCTGGGTTCAATTTCCAGATCAGCCCGATTTGCTATGTGAACTGTAACTTGGGCCATTAATTCTGACTGCCTCAGTTTTGAGATGCCCAACACACAACAGACCTGAAAACCTGATGGTTACAGGTGCTAAGCACTCCCAGCTTTCATTGACTTCACATGGATTTCTGGGAGTTCGGCACCTCTGAAAATCAGCCCCAAGGTTTCTAAGGTCAAGTAAAAAAAACGGAAGCACTTAAAACCAGTTGACACTTAAATTAGGGCTTCAATCCCTGTATTGCTACCTGTAAAATGGGAATAATAATTCCCACGCAATAAGGGATTGTGAGGCTGAATTCATTCATGCTCATAAAGCGCTTTCAGATCCTTAAATTCTTTATTGTTACTACTAATAAAACCGACACAGGAAATGTGGCATTATTTACGTGAGTAACATGTTTTCCTTTTGCAGCACTTGGGCCAAAAGGAGAAAGTTATTTTTAAAAATCTAATACCTGTTTAGAATAAACCCACTCCTACCAGCCACAGCTCTGAGCCAGGTCTGAAACCATGAGAGATGCACATGTAAAGTTCATCTAAATCACTGGTCATGCTGATGTTCCACTGAGGAGTGAGCCAGTGGGCTCCAAAGCCACTCAGAGGTGTCTGAAAAGTGTGAAGCCAAAGAATTTCAGCCACGAGGGAAGTGCCATTAGTACAGCTCTTGAAGATCCTCATAGAACAACTCTGGGCTGGTCTGCGACTGGCAAAGTGTCACTGCAATCTAAACTAGTGTACACTAGGGGGCACCCTGGTAAGATCACACCGAAACCTTGCACATTAAATGAGGAAAAAAAGATGTACAGATATTTCAAATCCTAGCAAACCCCATTTCCTGGCTGACCCGCCTCGCAACACCACCTGCTGGGCTACCGCTGTCCATTCACAGGCCAGGGGAAATCAATCAATAGCAAGTAAGCACACACTCCACCCGACCCATTCAGCAAGCCCACTCTACCTGCAGGATTCATTCAGCAGCATAGCGGGTACCTGCCTACACCTGGAGCCTTCAGCAACAGTCAATGGCCCAGGATATTAGAGGCCCTATCGTATTTAAGGGGTAACCCAACAGAGCACTGTTATTAAACACGGCTGTAAGGAAGACTGCAGCACGAGGCAAATTGCAGCCATATTTTAAAAGGAGGAAATCCAATATTTGGGAAAAAAGTAATATAAAATAACTAATAGTCATGGCAACCCTAAAGCGACTTCGAGCTCCTGACGGGTCATTATTCAGAGCAGACTGTTTTAATGCTGGGAGCACTGAGTTATTGCTGAAATAGACCCAGCTTGTCCTTTTAACATATTCATTCATTTTTATGATTTGATTCATATCGATTTCTCTCTGCTGGTTACAAAATCAGATTTGCATACAGAGACTTGTGAGCAGGCGGCTTCCTCACACGACTCCATACGCAGGGCACACAAAAGCCAGCTCAACCTTCTCCACACACTCAGCTACTCCCAGGGCTTCTCACTGGGGCCTGCTCAGCGAACACACACCAGATCCTTTCGAGAGGCCATTCCTACTTCCCTTACTCCTGGGTGGGTTAATGAGCCACCTGTGTCAATGGCTTTGTCTACACTAGAGAACTCTTCTGTTCCAACCCCCTAGAACCTACGTAAAACCCTCCTTATCCACATGCAAAAGTGCTCCAGCCAGTTTGTGGGTGTTCTAAGAACTGGGTGGAGTAGGCTAGGCTCACAGCAGGTCCAAGAAACGGCTTTAGTTCCACTGTGGGTAGGTCTAACTGAAATGGTACGGTCATGCCCCAAAGCCTGCCAGAATCCTTTGCTTAAGTTCTGCCAGGGCACCCTGGGTGCGTGCCACAGGGTGCATCAAGAAGCCGTGCCCCTTGGAACGAGCTGGCACCAACCAGAGCCCCTGAGGGTACCTGGTGATTTCCTTGAGAGCCAGTAACACAGCAGGTGTGAGCTTTGCAGAAAGGAGCGTTCCCAGCTCGAGAACTCCCCAGTGCCGAGTCTACTGCCTCCGTGAATCTCCTTATTCAGGCCCCAATGTCATTCCTGTCCAGTATCACTCGGAGGTTGAGGTCACCCCACTGAGGTTCAGGCCATTCTGCCTGGCTCCCCAACCTTCTGCTCACACTGTTAACAGGTGGGGGAAAGGACGGCTCAGGGCTCCACTAATGGTACGCCCGGCACAACAGCACCTTTTACATCTGTCTAGGTACACGTGGTGGGTGGCCACTTAGGGTGAGGTAATGGGGTGCACTCACCTCTCACGAGTGCCCCCTAGGCAGGTGTGTGCCTTCCTGCAGCTTTTTCCTCGATTTCTTTCGCTCACAGTCGTCCCCATCCCCCTCGTCAGCCACTGCACTTGTCAGGCAGCTTTCGGTGACACAGCCCTTCAGCTGAGTCACACACAGTCCGTGTGCAAAACAAACAACCCCCTTGTGGGGTGCACAATCCAAAATGTCCTGCAGCCCTTCCTGGACTCAGTCCTCTCACTGTCCAGCAGGTACCCTCGGCTGGTGTGTCCCTCTCTGCAGCCCCCCCAGGCTCAGTCTTTAACCAGCCCAACAGGACCCATCACGGTACCCTCACTTGGTCTGGTGAGGTTGCAAGGCTCCTACTCTGGAATTGAGCAGCGCCCTGAGGGTGCAGGGGCACTGGTGCTTCTGCCTCTGAATCCTAGGACAACAGGAAGTGAGAAGTGGGGTTTTTGGGGGTGTTAATTTATTAAAGGATGCACACTCTCCTCCAACACATTTGACCATCCCCACGCGGGGGTATGCATCAGTATGTCAAGTCTCATCCCCTCTGCATTTATTCTAGGTATTCAATAGCAACCGCATATGAAACCGTTCAAAATCAGCTTCCCACCCGCATCAGAAAGACAGAAAGCCGTTAGGACCCAGCGCTAACCAAACCCAACCATGGAAAACGAACGTAAGTGTTACATATTTGCTGAGGGATTTTAGCCTTCTAAGAATTTAGCTTTAAATCGTTCTTCCAAAGAATCTCAGCTTTCACGGAAATCATCTGTATTGTTTGCCATTGAAAAAATCCTTCCCTACCCCCCGCCCACAGCACCCTCCTGGCTTCACTGGCATGTCAAAGCCCAGTGGGAACCACAGAAATGCATGGACAATCCTGGGCATTGGTCCTGCAAAGATGTACAGCGGCGCTTTCCTTCACACACAGGGAGTGGCCCCAGGAAGTCACTGGGCGTGAAGTCAGCCACATGCAGATGTCTTTGCTAAGAAAGCAAACAAGTAAAAACCCTTCCCCTCTCCACAGCCAGGTTTCAGACTTGTCTCTTACAATGTCATAGGCCCAGCAGCTCTCCAGTCCTCCAAGGAGTCCTCCAGAAAAAAACAGGAAGCAGAGACTCGATTCTCAGCTCCAACTCCAGAGAACAAAGTAGATGGAAAGGATTCTCCCTGACACAAGAGATCCCTGGCTGTCCTAGAGTAGACTGCTGGCTCTCTGGCATCCGCTTCCCGCCCTTTGTGTAGGGGTGTGGCAGGGTCGGGGCAGGGCACATGGCTCTCTGCCTGATCCCCAGCTAGCAGAGTATCATTTAAAGCAGCCCCTAGGACACTCACTTACCCCAGGGACCGGTTCAGGATCAGCAGAAGGCAGGGCTAGAGCCCCCTTTCTCCCTGCATCCCCCAGCACAAATTGGGGCAGCTGAGAATCAGGCTCAATAGCTCTAAATTCAAAATAAGGAAGAAGAAAACAAGAACCTCCCCCACCTGCCTATACATCAGAAAAAGGGCCTATTTTATTGTGTGCAAGGGAAAAGTGTCAGGACTGGAGGATTCCTAATACACAGCAAGTTAAACGCATAAAGGGTAGTTATTCTTTTATCCATTTTATTCCCTTTGCTGTAGTTCTTTTAATAGTTGCCGTTCTAATTGGGAGGGGCAGT